CAGGCGCACCTGACCCACGCCAGGGCACGTTCCATCGCCGTGTGCAAGTGAAAGTTGGGCACTGAATAAAGGCGATCAAAGGAAAATGGATGCATGTGAACCATGGTGTTGGCAAAGAAGACTGAAAGTACCATGGACCGCCAAAGAACCAACAGATCCGTCTTAGACGTACGGAACGCTCCTTAGAGGCCAGGATGGCGAGACGTCCTCTCACATGCTTTGGCGGTGTTATCAGGAGAGACCAGTCCCTGGAGAAGGACAGCATGCTTGGCAAACAGGTGGGAAGTGAAATCGAAGAAGGCCCTCCAGACTTGACTGACGCGGTGGCTGCAGCCAGGAGCTGAAGCGTAACAATTGGGAGGCTAACACAGCACCGGGCAGCGTCTTGTTCTGCTGTACAGAGGGTTGCTATGAGTTGGAACTGACCCACTGGCACCTATTAGCCACAACAACAACGACAACATTAGACTGTGAGCTAGCTGTCGTGCTTCAAACCATTGTTATACTAAGCCAGCTAGTCACCCCTTTCTCTGCATGGGAGCAAACTTTGTCTTCATTCTCAAGTGCAGGATCTCTTAGATAGCATTAGAATCTACCGTTCAGCTATCTGCCTTCTCAGCTACAAGGACTTGTATTTTGTTTGTCTCTGTAACCTGTGTTGTTGTTCCCAGGGGCCGTCCAGTCAGCTTGGACTCATCACGGCTCATAATGTGAAGTAGAATGAAACACTGCGGTCCTGCGCTGGCCTCACCATGGCTCTTACGGTCAAGGCCATCATTGCAGCCACTGGGCAAAACATGCATCTTGTGGAGGGGCTTCCTCTTTTTCACAGCCCATCAACTTTATCAACCAGGAGCTTCTTGGCCAAGGACAGATACCAGCCATAGTTTCTTATACGCAAATAAGAGTAGGAAAGAGAAAATGTGATAGACCGATAAGAACAAGCGATAACCCCTTTTCATAACAGGGTCAAGAATGGTCAGGAGAACAAAGAGAGAAGGGAAAGGGTGCATGAAGGAATGAGAAAAAGAATTAGGGTCTATTGGACTTTTTAATGCTCAGCGCTCTAAACTATGGGTCAAATCAAAGGCTCACTTTATATCTGTTTCTTTTTTTCTAAAAGAATTACATTTTTAGTGACTGTTCACAAACTAACTCGTAGGGACTTTAGCACGTGAGATCAGCCACTTTTTTCTTAATAGACGAGTGCAGCACAGATAATCCTCCATTGATAATACATATCCAGAGCTTACTGATAAATTTATTTTGAGAAACTGGATAGCTATCCCTGTTGGAAGCACACACTCTCACCGCTAGTAACTTGATTCCAACTTCCCAGATCAGATGGCAAACTGTGTCATAGAACTGGGTAACAAAATTATAAGGTGAAAGACATGGGTTTAGTTACAACTCCATCATCATATAGCAGGTGGCAACTTAACCAACATCATCTGTCCTGCTCGTCCCACACATAGACTCTGTAAGTCAGCTCTATTAATGCCAGGGAAACAACTCGACAAAGGGAATCATGCGATAGAGCAATGCTATTATCTGTCACTATGTTGGCCCCTGAATCATGACAGCATTTCATGTAGAGTGGGAGAAAGTGCTGCCGGTCCTGCACCATCCTTCTGATTCATTGGGAAACATACCCTGGCTATCTCTAGGGTTTTCACTGGCCGATGTTCGAAAACCCACAGAACACACTGACAGTGGCAAAACATGAAGTTCATTGGCTTGGATTTGAACTCAGGTATCATTGCACTCGAAAGGCAAGAATGCCATCAACGGAACCCCCCTGCCATCTATGGAGCAATAGACCAAGAATCAAACTCACTGCCAAGGAGTCCATTCTGATTCCCAGTGACCCAGTAGGACAGAGTAGAACTGCCCTTGTGGGTTCCCAAGATTGTAATTCTTTACGGGAATACAATGCCTCAACTTTCTCCTGAGAAAAGGTAGTAGTTTCGAACTTCTGACTTTGCAGTCAGCAGCCCAGCTCATGGTCAACTACACCACCAGGGCTCCTTTACAGAGCAATGGGGGCCACTAATTGTGTTAATGGTATCAAACTGTCGTAAGAGAAAATGTGTGCTCCCTTCTGCCCTGGGACTCACAAGAGCTCTTCATAAGGTGGCAGGGGAGAATTACTCTCCGTCTGTCCCTGTCAAAACAGGCCTATTTGATTATGCTGTCGAATGTGTGGTGATTAAAAGAGAAACAAAAGTTGTCTGTGGCATGTACATTAAAACGTCAGTGCAAGTATCTCACGATTTATGTAAGGAAATCATTATGGGGATAATAACTAGCAATAGCTGTATGTCAAAATATTTCAAGATGCATGAATTTTAAGTATGAGCAACAGAGAACACAGGGGATAAAAAAGTCAAAGTCAAGGTTGGAATCAATGCTGCTGTCTCTTTAACCTGTATGCCACATTACAGGAAAGCACCTCATCATAGTGCCTCTTCTGAGATGTAAGCCCTTGTTTTCAGTGGCGGCAGCCCCCAAGAAGCATCTTTGCTGATCATCGGCCCCACAGTGGAGTGTTTGTAAGAAGCATCGGGGCTGATCATTGGCCCCACAGTGGAGTGTCTGTTTGCATATCTTCCAGGCAGTTTTCTGGTCATTGGTGTCTCGCTTTCTTTTCCTCTTTCAACGTGACATGACTTTGATGGGAGACGTGGCATTACATCGATGTGAGAAGCAGACGGACCTGTGCTGAGGTCAGGGGCGTCAAATGCTCTGTGGAATTCTCTAAGTGAAAAGTGTTCACCTGAAGAGAATTTGTCTGAATTCCAGATCTGGCTGATGCTCACTTGCAATACCATTATTGTACAAAAGAACGTTCCCCTCCAGCTCCAGATCTGAGCCAAGGCCAGTTTATCATCCATGGACAAGCCCCCCGCCACCCCTGCCTTGTTGAGGGATCCAGGAATCTGAGAAGCAACCGCCTTCCTTTGTTCAGCTTGTCCTAACTCCGCTCCATTCCACTTCCAGGCCTCGTCCTTCCTCTGCTTTCCTGCTTTGTCCATCTGCCTCTGGGTTCTTGCAGCCCTAAGTCCAGAGTCAATGCTTTGAAGTAGTTGATGCTTCAGCCGTAACCTCTGGCCAGGATCTACTGGAATCTATTTGGCTTTGTCTAAGTACTGGCTTTTGACGACTGTCTATCCAGGTGGGGCTGGACGATGGGGCCTGGTCCTACTCCCTCCACTTAAATCCCTGTCCTATCCAGTAAAGGGAAAGACATCATGGTCTGATCTGATGGCAGTGTGTTAGCCAGTTGCCATGAGATCAACTTGCAGTCCTGGCAACCTCAATTGTGTCAGAGCACAGCTGTGGTCCGTAAGGATTTCAAAGGCTGTTTTTGTTTGTTTGCTTGTTGGTTGGTTGAAGTTGATCACTAGGCTTTCTTTGAAGATGCTCCTGGATGGACTCATACTTCCCATTTTTTGGTTAATAGCCCAGTTTGTTAACTATTTGCATTATTCAGGCACTTGATGCTCGGTGTAGAAAACCTGGAAACGTCTTTCCCCATAGGGCCTCTCCTTTTCCTTTCCCGGTTTCTCCTGCCGGGGTCGCTGAGAACTGTCTTCGCTGGTCTGGTCTCAGTGTTCCTGGACGTCTCAGGATACACACAGGAAAGCTTCTGGCCCGAACTGCTCATCTTGCAGTTTATCTCACGGACGCAAGGAACTAATCGTTAGGACACTGATGAATGTATTGCGAAAGAGCCGGATGGTCTCTTTTTAGATCCCATAGAACTTTCTGAATCATTCATATTGCATTTCAAATATTTTCCTTTTGCTTACCAAAAATAAAGAACATACTTTTTAAAATTTTAAACGTAAACTAGCATGACAGAGTCCTGGGGTTGGGCTGCCCACAACAGCTAACCCACCAGCCACTCCTCAGAAAGATGATGACGATATCTGTTCCCATGAGGATTCACAGCCTCAGAAATACTATAGAGCAGCGGTTCTCAACCTATAAGTCAAGACCCCTTTGGGGGTCGAACGACCCTTTCACAGGGGTCTCCTGATCCATCACAGTAGCAAAATGACAGTGATGAAGTAGCAATGAAAACAATGTTATGCTTGGGGGTCACCACACATGAGGAACTGTATTAAAGGGTCGCGGCATTAAGAAGGTTGAGAACCACTGCTAGAGTGTTGAAATGAGATAGTTGTTACTTTGGTTTGAAGTGCTTTATATGAAAAAAATACTCCATGGTTTTCCTTCAGCCTCCCCACCTGGTTATTTTTAATTTCATGTGCGAAGGAACGGTTTCTAATTAAATTTTGGTTTACCGAATCAGAAGTCTTAGCAACTAAGGTTAAAAACACAGCAAAGCTAAAAGCTGGACTGTAATTTTGGAAGAGTGGTGTCTATTAGCAAGAACTGAACAAAGCATTACAGGAGGAAGCAAAAGGCCCAGTGCAAATTCTGAATCTGCATTCAGTTAACTGTGTAGCCTTAGGTATGATATGTTATTGAAATTCTTTGCACACCAGTTTCTCATTTACAAATATACAAATCCCAGAAATCCTAGCCCTTTTCTAGGTGAACAATTTTAGAATACTGTGAGACTCCATAAATTTATTTATAAGTTTAAAAAGAAACTAAAACAGGAAAACATTAATATTTAGAACCAAGCAATTCTTAAGACTGTGTTCCAAAGAAAGACTTGCTATTTATTGACTTTAAGTATGTCCCTATTAAGAACATCTCACTATAGAAAATATTGAACTTTAGCATTTTTGAAAACCCAGTGTCTGCATGAATATGGCTGTGTTCACACTTCATTCCTCTTCATATTTGTGGTCCATCTACTAATCATCTATGGCTGTATATCCATATGTGCATATGTACATGCAAATGCATGCATATATTTACATATATCATGTACACATGCATATACATGCACAGAAGCGTAAGAACAAAAGAGAAAATAAAGAAGCCCCAGAGCTGCCTGTCAAACAGGAGAAAATGAGACTTACGGGAGCTGCTGAATTTTTAACTGTGACACAGGCGGTGGTGGCTCTCAGGGCTCCACTCACTCCATGGTAGTATTTGAAGCAGATCTTAGTTTCAGCTGAAAGACAAAAGTAATGACGTTGAGAAGCCTCTAGGAACTACAGCCCAGTTCTACTCATCAGCTAACCAAGGTATCCATGAAAATGATAGTCAACATGTGATCTCAAATAGATAAGACTGAGCTCTTTCTAAAAGTTTGTCAAGATAAACAGTTATGATCTGGAAGGGAGGGGGAGGGGAAAAAAGGAAAATGAGCTGATTCCGGGAACCCAAGAGGAAAGCGAATTTTGGGACTGATGAGGGCAACAAATGTATAGATGTGCTTTACACAATTGATCTATGTATTGTGATGAATTGTATGAGCCCCAATAAATTGATTTAAAAAGAAAAGAAATAGATAGCACAATGTTCCTAGGTCAGAGTTTGGTACAAATTAAATACTAAACAAAAAAAAAGTTATGATCTTAGAATTTTTGGATCCAGGTTAAATATGGTATCTATACGCTCAACATCTACCCTATCCCATTAGAGGCTTGTGCTTGTAAACACTCAGTTCTAAGAGTTTAGATGACTTCGTGTCAACCACTAGTCTGTGTATACTACAATTTCCTGCTTTCCTTTAATTCCTCTGGATTAATATCCCTATAGGTGTTGGGCTGCTAACTACAAGGTGTAGTTCAAACCCACCAGCTGCTCCTCAGGAGAAAAAGGAGACTGTCTTGCTCCCGTAAATATATACAGTTTCAGAAAACCTATAAAGAGCTGGAATCAACTTGATGGCTGCAGATTTGGTTGGGATTTAATATCGCTGCTATTTGAATTAAAATTTTGAGTGATTAGAATTCACGGATGTTAAACACATTTGTGAACTCTTGCAAATACTGCTGGTAGAATTTATGAATACAAAATTTTTGCATCTCAAACTTTTCCTTCGAAGCTCTATAGATGATAAGCAGAAAAGGCACTACTTTAGAACCCTCTCTGCCTGGGTTTGAACCTGCGCTCCATCTTTGGCAAGCCGTGAAATGCTGAGCACATCACTAACTTCCCTGTGCTCCAGATTCCTTTTCTGCATCGCACGACCAACAATAAGAGCTACTTCAGGAGAGGCTGGTGAGGCAAGTAAACTTGCACACACACTACTTCCATTTAGTGCTCAATCATTGTCAGTGATGGTCACGATAACGAAGATGATGGTGATGATGCTGTTTTTTTTTTTTTTATTATTCTGGCATTTACCTTTTTATCTGTTGAATTATAATAAAGACTACCCATTACCTGGAGGATGGCTGGCTGGTCAGAGCCCAAAGATGCTGACTCATCTCCTTTTCCATGAGCATGCTCTTTCTTTAGCTATGTTGAAGCTTTCTGTCAGTTTCCTGTCTGAGCCTTCTTTCCTTAAAGGGATTTTGCTGAATGCATTTTCAAGCACTCGATAGACAATTATGTAACCTCGTTCCATATTCTCTAAGGCGATCACTGTTGTCCTCTTGCGAGGTCTACAGATCCAGTTTCAATGTTTTCTCAGCTCGGGTGTTAGGTTTCTGGTAGCATAGAAACCCAGAGTGTACTCAGACTAAGGCCGTGAAGCGTGGGCTTAAGTTGACGCTGACTCAAGGTGTCCCTATGTCTGCAGAGTAAAGCTGCTCCATTGAGTCTTCAAAGTCGTGATTTGGGGACCTTGAAGAAGCAGATCACCAGACCCTTTCCCCCCTGATGTGCACTTTGTGGGTTTGAGTCATCAACCTTTTAGTTAGTCATCAAGTGATTAATGATTTGAACCACCCAGGGACGCCAGAGGTGAGTTAAACACCTCACTTTTAACGACAAAAGGCAATGTTCAGTACGTGAGTGAGTGAGTCTATCAAGAGGTGCCTGCAGCAGTCATATGGGTCTGCTCAGGTGGATGGAAGTTCTTTACAAGGACCTTTTACACTACAAAGTTCCTGAACAGGCACCATTGAAAGAAGAAAATTCTTTCCATGCTTTTGAGCCAAGGTCAGGGAAACTTTACAGAATCCTGAATTGAGTTGTATTGCTAGATGAGTGGATGAGTGCCTATTTTGAGCCCAAATTCATTGAAACCATCAACACATGGTAATCTTTTGAAAAATGTCTAGCAAAGGTTGTTTCTCAATTTTAAAACAGGTGTTTTAACATGGTTATTAATGGATCTCCTTTTAGTTGTTAATACTGCCTGTGATTCAAAACAAGTCCCTCTTCAAATTTACAATAGTAAAGTAGTAGAACTTTCTTCTTAATTGAGAATCAGGCATGGAAGTAACTCAACCACAGCTGTTATGACACATAAAATAACATATAATGGTTGACTCAACATACTTTACATGTAAAATTCTACATGTAAAAATAACTATAATATTAGTTATATTTGTCATGTCGTTCCATTGTCACCAAGTCCAAATTTTCCCACTAATCTTACTAGTTCAGTGTCCCCGAAGTGGCTTTGAAATGTATTTTATCTCAAAACAAGTCCATACTACTTTGCTGTTTAAAAGCTTATTTCCTTATGCCACACAATGATTTTTTCCTAATAGCAGACTTGAGTACTACGTATCTTTATTTCGTTAATGGCAGGCAGTAGAGGTTGAACAATGACGAATGAACTACTGGTTTCATTTGGCTTAATCATGACAAAAACATCATTGAGTAGACGCCAACCCATCCTGATTCTGCAGGACAGGGTAGAACTAACCCAGAGGGTTTCCAGGCTGTACATCTTCCTGGAAGAGTGCCACGTCCGTCTCCTTGGGAGCGAATGGCAGTTTTGAACTGCAGACCTGGTGATTAGCAGCCCAACACGTAATCCACTACACCACCACGCTCCTTGCCAAACTCACTGCCTCAAAGTCAATTCTGACTCATAGTGTCCCTACAGGACAGGGTAGAACTATCCCCTGGGGTTTCAGAAATTGTAACTCTTAATGGGAAAGGAAAGTCTTCTCTTTCTGCCACAGAGCACCTAGGAGTTTCAAACTGCTAGCCTTGCAACTGGCAGCCCAATGCCTAACACCGCTGCGGCTTCCCTGGGCTTCTTATTACCACATGCCGTTTAGTTGGTTCTGACCCATGGATTCTATGTACAACAGAAAGAGATACTGCCTAGACCTGCATCATCCTCACTGCATCATCATCATTCTTGATTCACTTGTCATTCGTGATATGAAGTATGTACATGTTTCAAGTCATAGTCTTTTAACCAATGCAGTGACGATAATAACCATTGACAGTGTTCTAGTTGGCTTCATGTAAAGTTGATGTATCGACAACAACAATGAAACAGTTGCTATCAAGTTTAGTCCAACTCATCCCCGCCTGTGTGTCAGCGGAGAAGGGTTTACAGAGTAGAGTGCTAGGCCTTTCTTGGGACGTATCCGTTGGTGAACTAAAACCTCTAACCTTTCGCTTAGCAGCTCAACACAGCAACTGCACCACCTTGGGGTCCATTTATGAAATATAAAACCAGCACTCCAAATTGGTTGTCATGCAGTGCCAAAGCAGGACTGCTCCATCGCGTTTTCTTTATTGTAATATTTACAAGAGCAGAATTCTAGGCCTTTCTTCCCTGGCAATGCTAAGAGGATTCACGCTTCCAACCTGAGGCTAGTAGGTCAATACATGGCATACAGTAAGTCCTCACTATATGTTACTCTTCCTTTTTAGTTTATATCTGTGACACATGAAGTCAAAACTTACGTTAGTGTATTTATACTCAGCCACACTTGTAATTTAAACAAACATCAAATCTTTATTTAGTGATTAGCCCTTCAAAAATTGCTATTAATTCAAATTTGGTACCTAGACAGCAAAAGTGAAGCTCCACTTTCAGTAGTGTGCATTAGGCATTTCAGAGAGCAACTAAATATGTGGAAAAACATAGAAAGAAATCTGCCATAAGATTTCCAGTAAAACTCAGATCTGAATTTCAAACAGTGAAAACATTTTCATTATAAGTATGCTCCTGATATTCTATGGGATCTCCTCACTGTCTGGCCAAATCAACAAACCCCCACCCCACACGGAGCTGGTCAGAGCTGGCTGATGCAATTCTCTCCAGACTTTGTACTCAGCTATGTGTGCACTCTACCAGGAACGAGGAAGTGCTCCCTTACCTGGCTAGGGGCGCGGACATGCCTGCGTCCACCATTTACCAACAGCCACCCTTACCTGGCTAGGGACGTGGACACGCCTGCATCCACCAATCATTAACAGCCTCCCCTACCTGGCTTGGGCTTGGACGTGCCTGCGCCCACCAATCCTGGATGGGCACCTTTGTCTGGCCAGGGACTCAGGTGCGCCTGCTCCACCAATCCCTGGCAGACACCTCTGCCTAGTCAGAAACCCAGATGTGCCTGTACCTTCCAATCCCTGACCACCTTACTAGATATGGGCCCAGGACTAGCCCAGCCACCTGTCTCCCGGCAATAAAAAGGTCACTCCTGTAACCCTGGCGTGACTCCCTCGGCCAGAACTTGTGGACTGCTGGACTTTGCACAGGCAGGGTTTTTTTTCCCCCTAATAAAAGCCTGTTTGCTAAAATTTGGCTGATTCAATTTCTGGTGCCTCTTGACTATCTTACACTCATACTAAAAATTGTTTACCATTGTGTGCTCACCTTCCCGATACAATTGCTGAGGACAAATGGGTGCATAAGCAAGTGTGGTGAAGAAAGCTGATGGTACCCAGCTATCAAAAGATATAGCAGCAGTTAGAAATCAAAGGACCCATTTCATTGAGTAAATCTGTGGCACAAGATCTCTTTTAAGGGTTGAAGAGCAAGCCTGTCACGTTGAGGATTAAGGTGCCCAGGACACAAGCCATGGTATTTTCAATCTTTCGATATGTATGTGAAAGTTGAACATTGAATAAAGAAGACCCAAGAAGAATCAATGCATTTAAACCACAGCGCCGGCAAACAATATTTTAAGTATCATGGATTGCCAAAAGAATAGAGAAACCTATTTGGAAGAGATGCAGAATATGTCATAGAAGCAAAGAGGGCAAGACTTCATCTCAAATGCTTTGGACAGGCTATCAGCA